GCCGTCGCCCACAGGTCTGCGCCCCGCAGGGGTGGGGGTCCCGGGAGTGGGGGACCGGGGGGCGGGGCCGTGACCCCGAGCCTCGCCACCCCCGCGCTGTCCTAGGTGGGCGCGCGCCGCGCTTCGACCCCACGGCCTTCGTGAAAGCCAAGGAGAAGAAGCAGAGGGAGATCAGGATGAAGTTAGTGCGCCTCCCGCCCCGCTGCCCTCATCCCTGCCCGGGTCCTGGCTGCCGCCTGGCCCGGTCCCTCGCCACTGCCCGCCTCCCAGCTGTCCCCACGGTCCCGCGTCTCTCCTGACCCTGTCCCCTCTCCTGACCGCTCACCCGCGCTGCTTGCTTGTTTCTCCTGCTTCCACCGGGTTTGGTCCCCGCCAGCTTTCTCCCCTCCTGTGCCACATGGCAGGGTCCCCGGCTCTGGCTGTGACTCAGGGGCACGGCGACACCTTTCCCCTCATGACTTGGGCGCAAAGCGGGCGTCTCCTTTCCCGTTTTCCAGGCAGCGGCAGCAGCAGCGGAACCGACTGGGCAGTGGAGGAAGCGGGGACGGTCCGACCATCTCGTGGTCTCGCCAGGCCCGGCCCCCTGCTGCCGTGACCGGCAGAGGGGACGCAGCCAACCGCTCGCGCCACCGCAGCTCCTCGGGTCGGTGGCCTGGAGCTGGGGGTGGGGCGTGGGTGGGGAAGGACGGGCGGACGGGCGGCGAACCCGGCCGGGCGAGCGCGGAGGCTCAGGCCCCCGTCTCCCCCTAGTGGACAGTTTCCGCAGCCGCTGCTCCTCGGCCAGCTCCTGCAGCGAGTACGAGGATTTCTCCGAGTCGCTCCCCAGAGGGTAAAATGTGACACTGGGGGAAGGAACATTTCGGAGGGATGCCTGGGGAGACGGCGCACAGCCTTCTGCAGGGGAATTGGGTGATGGAGGCTGAGGGACCTGAAACCACGGCGGTGGGCCATGTGGGAAGCACCAAAGACCAACTCACCACTGATCCTCAATTACCCCTTCCCTCAGCCTTCGCTGTCACCGCCACGGGAAGCCCCCCAGCCCCACTCCTTGGAGTGGGTCAAATACAGTAAGTGTCTCTGCCAGGCCTCGGAGGAGGGAAGGGTAGCGTTAAGGCCCTAACAGCCTGCTGTCTCCATTTCCCATGAGTCCGTCCCGGGGCTCAGGTTGCAGAGGTGACTGAGATGCTTCTGGAAGCAGGCAGGGTGTTTTAGGACCATGAGGTGACTGATGGGTAGAATAGTTGGGTGCACAGGGGGCTGTAAGTTTCTGGCCTCGAGTTACCAGATCTTCAGACCTGACTGCTGCTTGTGCCGGTGTGACTGGAAGTACTTGGCATCTCTGTGCCTCAGTCACATTACCAATAAACCCGGGAAGGTACCGAATGGCATCACCTGGGGGTCCGTGTGACAGGCTAACCCAAGCTGGTTTTGATGTAGTGAGTGCCCAGTAGGTGTCAGCCCCATTTTCTTTGAGGTCCTGGGGTTCAGAATTCCCAGTGGCACTTGGCACTTGTGGGGCAGGGAGAGAGGGACAGTGCCTGACCCGTCTCCTGCCTCCCTCATCACCAGAAGTCCACCCCTCGGGAATGCAGTAGTCAGAGACGCCTGGCCAGTTCAGGGGGCTGGGTCCCCATCAAAGGTAAGCTGCGTCCCCCCGCCTGCTGGGATGATAATGAGGGCAGCGTCTGGGCTTGGAGCTTCCTGTAGCTTCAGACTGTTCCCAGCCCCCCCCACGGATGCCTGCCCTCACAGAGTACAGCTCGGACCACCAGGCAGTTGACATGGCTGAAATAGACGCCCGCCTGAAGGCCTTGCAGGAATACATGAACCGACTGGACACGCGGTCATGACCATAGAGAGCTGCACTGCCTCTCCACCCCTGCCCACCAGTGGGTATGGCATAGGTGCAGGGCCAGGGCCAGGGAGGCCTTCCAGCCTCACCCAAACCCTGCTCCCCTAGGGGTCCCAGGTGTGTGAGGCCCTGACCCTGCCCTCTCCCCAGGCAGTGCACACTGGGAGGGAGGGTATGTACATTTTGTAAATAAATGTGTTCATCCTTGGGACCCTTTAGCATATGACTGAAGGGTGGGGTGGAGTGGGAAGAGAGGAGGAGGACGGGAAGAAATAACTGAGGGCTGTGGGTATTCCTGGCCATGTCTGCCATAGGAGGCAGATGGGAATTCAGACTCAGGAAAAACTTCCAGGCTCTAACACATTGCAAGGAGGGAGCTGAGGGCTGGTAGTGAGCAGCCTGTCTCCAAAGGAGTCCAAGCAGAAATCCTGCACAGGACATCTTTGTGTGCTGGGAGTACCCTGCTCCATGGCCCACTGCCTGAGAAGAGCTCCGAGCTGCTGTTGGTGCCATCTGAACCTGCTTGGTGCGGATTCCTGGGCTCTGACCTGAGACCTCTGGGTTCTGAGCTGTGATATTGCTTCCGAGCTGGGATCTCCGGGGTCTTGGTTCAGGGTCGGGGCCTCTGGGTTCTGAGCACCAGCGAGGACAGCGTGCTGGGAGGAGGGGGATGGCTGGGGTCTTGTGGGAGCGGGGAGGAGGGGGCTGTGCTGTGCGACTTTCTCGGGACACAGCTGGAGTGGCATCTTTATTGGAGGACGTGGGAAGGAAGCGGCAGCAGGGCTTCTGGCCGGGGGCGGGACGGGGGTGGGCAGTAAGCAGGGCCTCACTGACGGTAGTGTGGCCAACTCTGGATGATTTGGTAGAGCTGGTCGCCTGGAGAGAGCGTCTGCTGCACATCCCGGTGTCCTTTGAGCTGGTAGTTGGATTTCAGGGCTCCCCGAGCCACACCACAGGCCAGCAGATTCTGGGCTGCCCGGAGGGCCCGTTTTGGGGGTACCCGCTCTGCAGGGGCAGATGCAAAAGTTAGGCTGGTGCTCCCTCAAAAGGGTAGGGGTAGTGGCTTGTGTGCTTCAAGCTGGTTTTAATCACTGTGTGCCTCAGTTTCCTCACCTCAGTAGGGCTGTGGAAGGGGAAATGGTTACTTTATATAAAACTTACAGAATGGTGTCTGGCCCAGTGCCAACATCTGTTAAATACTTCCTGGGTGCCCTGAGCTGGCTTCAAGATTTTGTATAGATCAACGAAACCAACCTTGTTGTTGAAAATGGTTTCATTATCGGAAGAGGAAGTGAGGTTCAGGAAATGTAGTCTGCGGCCTGAGGTCACAGAGCTTGTAGATGGCAGAGCCTCTTACCCGCCACCCCCCTCCTGCCCTGCCGTCCCCTAGCCCCATGCCACTGTCCCTCCTGGGTGTCACTCACCCATGTAGTTGCCCATGAAGGAGATGCCAATGGATCTGGAGTTCCAGTTGCCACCTGAGTGGGCGCCCTTGGTGTTCCAGCCCCGGCCCTCATAGACATGCCCATCTTCTCCAATCAGGAAGCTGCATGGGAGATCAGGGGCTTGAGTGAGGGAAGGTTTTGGGGGGCAGTGCCTCACCCCCTTCCTGCCATGGCAGTTTCCTCAACACCATCCTCACCCCTTCACTTTCCTCTTCCCACCATGGTTCATTTATTGTGCCTGGTGCCACATGCCAAGCGCAGCTCTGTGTACCTTGTTTTCATCTGCAAGGCAGCCCTGTGAGCCACTGCCACCCCATGTTACGGAGACTCAGGGAGGTGGTACCATCTGCCCAGTGTCACTCAGCAGTTGGGCAGAGCCTGTGCTTTCAGTTCTACTCCTTGCCCTCCTCTCCCTCTCTGGAGGATTTGTTGAGCTCTTGCTTTGCCACACAAGCTCTGAGGTAGGTAGTTGTCTCCCCCTTGTTAACACTGAGGAGCAGAGGCGCAGAAAGCCACACTCTTTGCACAAGGTTATGCCCCTCAGAGCTCTGACCTTCCCTCACCCTGTCTCTGGCCATTCGGGTCCACTTGTGGGACACAATTAGGGGCTCAAAGGTTGAGGTCACATCTGCTTCTGGCGGTTTCCCGTCCAGGCAGCAGATCCTTCAGGCTCATTCAGCGCATCTTGACTCAGTGTGTCTCCCTGGGCACCTTGACATGAGCTAGGTCAGCACCTCGGAGCTGCACTGCCTGCATTCTCACAGGGTCACTACCACACCTGGGATGTTGGAAGTCCCCAGTCCAAGTCCTGGGCCTGCCGCCTAGGAAGCCGGCTCACAGAATCCGCCTGAGGAGACTAGAGTCACCCCAGTGGTGCCAGCTGCTAGATCTGGGCAGGTGATGGCTCTGCGGGCACCTGGCCCTGGGGGCTGCACTCTGTAGATTTGTTACCTGGATACATCAAATTTAAACCTCGGCCACCATTGCCAGGTGGGTACAGTCAAGAACCTTATCCATAGGTGAGGACACTGCGGCTTGGAGGGAGAACACGATGTGGTAAGGGAGGGGTGCTGAGAGTGTCAGATACTGAACCCTAAAACCCAGGAAGTAGACCTCTCCTTTGCCATAGGCCACTTAGACCAGCGGGTGCAGGGCCAGGCTCCATCTTCCTGACCCCAGGGGAACAGTTAGGATGGGACCCTTGGAAATAGAGCCCAGAAAGTGGAGCCTTTGCGTGATGAAATCTGGAGCGGGAGGGACCGAGGATTCCCTAGCAGCCTCTAGGCTTCTCTGGGCCGTGCTGGTGCCCTCTCCAGGTGGGGCCGGGCAAGCTGTGTTTCCGTAAGCTCCACAGGCGCTTTCGATGTTCACTGTGACCTGGTTGAGTCGCGTTCCGACGCGCCCTCTCTATGGAAGCGCTTGTGTGGACCGCAGCCTGGTACCCTGGAAAGGGCTGGCGGGCACAGCCCAGAGGCCACTCCACCCAACTCCAGGCTCCAGGGGTTTCTGCCCTCAGGCCCACGGCAGCCTGTTCTCCCCACAGCGGTCAGAGGAAGCCTCTTACGCTAAGTCAGTGCATGCTGAGAACCTGCCGTGACTCCCATCTTACTCAGAGTGAAAACCAAAGTCTGTATTGTGGCCCACAGGCCCTGCCCAGTCCATCCCCTGCCGGCCCTCTCCCCACTCACACCCCTGCCCCACCCTACATCCAGCCACCGTGTCTCGGGATGAGAGCCGCTCCCTTGGCCTCATGGCGTTTGCACCTGCGCCCTGTGCATTGCATCCTCAGCTCCCTGGTTCCAGAGCCACCGTCTCAGGGCGGCCTTCCCTGTCCTCGGCCCCCTGAAGAAGCCATAGTGGATCCGGATCCGGCTTCTGGGGTCACCCTCCCCCTCCTTGTTCCTTTGGTCCGCCACTTCCATTGCTGTCAGAATCCATCTTGTTTCTCACCTGTTTTGTCTTAAGTCACACAGGGATAGAGTCGCACTGTTCCCTGCTGTCTCCTCATTCTAGTGCCCCGCCCACTGCCTGGCACGCAGTTGGTGCCTAATGGCCATGGCCCACGGGCTTGGGGCGCCAGTGATGTGCGAGGCAGTGCCCCGGGTGTGTTGCACGCACCAGGCCCCCACCGCCCCACTGACTGCAGAGGGGCAAGCGGAGGGGACAGGACCAGTCCCCTCTGGGGAGGGAGCTGCACTGGGCCTCAGGCAGAAATGAACCCTGGTGACACTGGGACCTCTCTCCCACCTAATCAGCCCGCACACCTTCCTGCTAGGGCACCAGCCCTTTTGAACGGGATGCTTTTGTAGAGGTTGGGGGAGCGCTGACGCGTGGGCCGGAGCTGAGGCAAAGCCTCCCCTGACACATAGCACCTGCTGCCTGCACCTGACCAGCCGTGGGGGTGACTCTGGAGGCTGAGTGCGCTGTCCAGCGCGTCAGCCGGGCAACTCCGCCTGGGCCCCGGCACCTCCGCCCCCGCCCGTCCGCGGGCGCCTGGCCTCCCTCCGCACTCACTTGTAGCCCACGTCGCACCAGCCCTGCGTGCGCATGTGGTAGTACTGCACGTTCCGGGCCTGCTGCTCGCAGGAGTCTGGGGAGCTGCAGGTGCTGCCCGCCGTGTGCGATATCACGACGTAGCGGACGGGCAGGCTCAGGCGCTCGGTGCACTCGGAAGCCAGGGCATTCCAGTCGCTTCGAGGCACGATGGAGCCGCAGCTGCTCTGGCCTCCGGCTTTCTGAGCCGCTCCGAGGAGGACAAGGAGGGTCCAGGCGAGGATCGTGCAGTGGCGGGACATCGTGAGAAGGCCGCTCAGGGATAGCTAGGAGCGGGGCTGAGCTGGGTGCCTTTATCTGCTGCGGCTGTGTGTGTGTGTAGGGGGGAAGGGCTTGATTCCTGCCAGGCGGGACTATCTGGGCGGGGCGCACGGCACGCTAGACCCAGCTTCCTCCTCTGGCAGGGCTGGAATAGGGTGCGGTGTGGTCCTTGGTCGGGTTAGGGGTGGGAGGGAAAGGGGTGCCCAGGCCTTGGGGTGCTTTTCCCTGTGGTTTCAGGAAGAATCAGGGTCTGGAAGGCTGCCTTGCTTTGTCTGTTCTCAGTGGGGCACTGGATAAGTTACCCGGAGCTTGCACCAGAGGAGAGGCCCGGGGCCTTGGCACATCTCTTGCTTCCTGCAGGAACTGAGGTAACAAAGGTTCCTGTTTTTGAAACATTTAATCCTAGGCCCAAGGCTGATGACATTTAACTCTTGCAGAAAGCCACCGAGGTGAGTATTGATTGGTAAGCTCATTTCACAAATGAGTACACGAGTTTGGGAGAACGGAAGTCACTTGCTGAGACCTGGCAGGTGATGAAGCCTGGTGGTCCAGAGTACCCCCTTCAGAGCCAGGCTGCCTGCCATGAATTCCCGATCCTTTCCAGTGTGTGAGCCCTGACAAGTTGTCAGTGGCTCGCATGGATCCTTGCTCAGTGCTCACGGAAATGAGAAGTGAAGCAACAGTGTGAGTTTCCAGGCAAAGCCTTAGGTAAAAAGTGAAAGAAAGGGAAGCACAGTTCTGACAAAGATCAAGCCCACCCTCCAACAAAAGAAAGTATGAGAAGATAGGAAAAAGGCCACAGCTTGAGAAATGGAAGGGTCTGTTCACGAAGGAATGGAGACCAGTTTTATGGGGTGCTGTGGTGGTCTGGGATCCTGTTGATCATTATCTCAGTCCTGGTTTTATAGTTCTGGCAGACTCCTCATGATGTAGGGGAAATTCCAGTCCCGTGGCACCCACAGGACTTTGTTTGGGGCAGTCTCAGTCTTGTGAAGCTCTGCTGGCATCCGCAGTGACCCGGGGTTAAAGACAGTGGAGATTCCGGGCACAGTCTAGTGTACCTGGAAATCTCTTATCCTGGTGCCCCCTTAACAAAGGGTTATGTGATAGGCTAGGTAAACTTAGCACATCAAACATTGCCTTGGCAACTTTTAAGTAAACATTTCCTAGTGACAGACATGCCCATGTGCAGAGCTGAGAAGGATTTGACTCAAGACTTCTACAAAATGAAGGTCAAAAATTTTGTTCTGATTTTAATTAGGCCCAAGTGAAGAGTCACTTTTTTCTTTTTAGCAAAAGTAGCTTTTAAGCCCTTGCCTCAAAAGAAAACACAGATCATGCTTTTAATGAGGACAAGTTTAAGGGTTTAGGAATTTATTTGACCTCTGCCCCCACGTTGGTCCCTGTACCAAAGTAACTTAACCTTTCTGTGCCTCAGTCTTTCCACCTGCAACATGGGTGTGATAAATGTGATACCCTCCCCACACAGGGTCCATGGGGCCAACCAGGGTGTCTTAGTTACTTTTTTCTCCTTGCTAAGACAAAATACCTAACACTCAAAATTAGGGAAGGAAAGGTTTATGTAATTCACAGTTTGTGGAGGTTTCAGTCTGTAATCAGCAGGCTCCAAGGCAGGGTGGCAGGGTGAGGGGCAACAATTCAAGGCAGCAGAAGGCAGCAGAAAGCAACAACATTACAAATGGGAAGAGAGCAAGCCTCTTCCTCTATATTATGTGCAGGCTCTCCATCCTTGGGGGGTCCTCTACACCCACACCATCTCTGTGTCTTCCCCTTCCACAAGCTCAGGATTTTTACAGAGTGAGGACCCTTCTCCCCCAAGTCAGGTAAGCTTCTGAAAGTCTCAATTCTCAAGTTGACACAATGTATCAACCATGATCATCTACCCCTTGTGAACTTGGTAACAGAAATGTTTCTTTAAACCAGTTTCTAGATAGAAAGACATTATTCTTATCATTTCACAACTTGAACATTATAACACAGGTTTAACAATCCTTAAGAACCAGTATTAAAGTCTACCAACATATATTACATTAGAACCATGACATTCAGTCCCTGGCCCCCACAAGACTCATGCATATCCTTTTTTCAAAAGGCATTTAGTCCATCTCTTAAGAGTTGCCAACGTCCTAACAGTTTCAGCATTTCTGAAAAGTCTAAGTCCCAAGTCTCCTGTAAGATTTAAAGCAAACTCTTAGCTGCAAGCCCCTGTACAAATGAAAGCAAAGTTGAACACTTGCAACATTCAAGGGCACAAGATAAACATTTTCATTCCAAAAGTTAACAAACGGGGATACAACGGATTGGGACCAAATCAAGTGCAAAATCTAACCCGGCAAACATTAAGTCCTATGTTCGTGTTGTAGAACCTAAAGCAATCTTGCAAATTGTGAGCTCCCAAGGTCTTGCGTGACTCCACCCCTTGGCACTTGTGGTGGTTAAGGTGCCATGGCTTCTCTCTTAGGCCCTCTTTGCTCACTCCTTGCAGCTTTCCTTAGATGATCCATGTTCCTGGCTTTTCCAAACTTCTGGGATCTCCACTGCACTTAAGTATTCTCACTCACAGCTTCACACACTGCTCTCTTAGAGCACACTGTCTGGTCTCCCAGGCATTCTGAAATTGAGGTGGAAGCCTTTTAAACCCCGTAACTCTTGCATTCGGCATGCACCTAAAGCCAGCACCACGTGGATGATGCCAAGGTCTGCTGCCAGTTGGAGCAGTAGCCCGGCATTCCTCATTCTTGGCTGTAGGGTTCTAGTGCCTGGGTCCCTGGGCACTCTGAATCCAGTTCTGAGGAACAAATTTTCTATGCTGACACCATTCTGGGACATGGTGCTCTGTGGTTTTCTCCTCAAAGCAAAGTCACTTTTGCAGTTTTGAGGCTGCAAGGGATGGAGACTTACTGCTTCTAGTGATGCCCTCAGGCCATCTTTTGTATTCCCCTGGTTCCTTCTTAGCAGTCAGAATCTCTTCAGCTCTATCTTTACAGTTCACAGCTTTACTAGAGCTTCCTTTCTGGCCAGACTCAGAACATTTTAAATCATCCTGCTGGGCACTTTGCTCTTGATTCTCAACATAGATCTGGCTAAAAGCTCCCAACAATAGCCATGCCACTGCTTCAATATTAGACTGCCTTGAAATTTCTTCTGCCAGATTAATTAGTCCACTGCCTTTAATCTCAGGCTCAGGCAAAGTCTCTGGACAGGAGCAAAGTGCAGACAAACTTTCTGCCAAGCCATAACCCATGTCATCTTGGGTCCAACAGCCAGTGCAGTCCTTCTCAGCAGAAACCTCCTGAGCCTGGTCTTTACTGGCAGGATTTTTATCAGCCTTCTGGTCTTCTGGGCTCTGATCAGAATCTCCCAGACAGAACAGCCTAAAGCATTTCAGCTCTGCTTTTTTAGCTGGCACCTCTGAACCTTTCTGATCTCTTCCCAAAGGATCCAAAATCTCTTGAACAACATGGTCCTTTCAGTCACAGCAGTGACCCCACTCCTCTGATACCAAATTCTGTGGTGGTTACTTCTCTCTCATTGCTGAGACAAAATACCCGACACTCAAAATTAAGGCAGGAAAGGTCTACTTAGCTCACAGTTTGTGGAGGTTTTAGTGTGTAATCAGCTGACTCCAAGGCGGTGGGTGGGTAGCTAAGGGGGCAGCAGTAAAGGCAGCAAAATTCAGCAACAGCAAAAAGTCAGGGAGAGCAAGCCTCTTCCTCTCATGTTGTATACAGGCTCTCTACCCTAAGGTGGGGCCTTTAGGCCCACACCATCTCCTTGCCTTCCTCTTCCACAAGCTCAGGTTTACAAAGTGAGGACCCTGGCCCCCTACTGGGTCACTTAGTTAAGCTGCTAAACTTCTCAGTTCTCAAGTTGACACAGTATGAAAAATTTTGTTCTGACTTTAGTTACCCATTAGACATCTCTAGACCCAAGTGAAGAGTCCATGTTTCCTTTTTTCTTTTTAGCAAATGCAGCTTTTAAGTCCTTGCCTCAGAAGGAAACACAAATCATGCTTTTAATGAGGAACAAGTTAAGGGTCTAGGAATTTATTTGTCTTCTGCCCCCCGTGGTGGTCCCTGTACCAAAGTGATTTAACCTTTTGGTGCCTCAGTTTTTCTACCTGCAACATGGGTGTGATAATGTGATGCCCTCTCCAGATAGGAGGATACATGGGGGATTAAATGGGTCGACCAAGGTAAGGCGCATAGCTGTCTGGCACACAGCGCCACATTCCTCAGTGTCATGGGGACTCAGACTCAGTCTGTCCTCAATAGCAGCAGCTTTGTGTGGTCCCACTGGCAGCTCCATTTTGGAGTGGAGAGAATCTGAGTTCAGAGAGGAACAGCCGCTTGGCCTGGGCCAAGGAGTCAGATCGGATTACCTTTTGTAGCAGAAGTTTTCCCTGGACTTCTGTTCTGCCCTGGTCACTTTTCCCACGGCTTCCTAGACCCCTCGGGGAATTCCTGGTTGGCTGCCTGGCTTCCTCTTCCTCTTCCCACTTTAGTGAATCTTTACAAAGTTCTAAAGGTAGCAAACAGAGCTGTGACCAGTTGAATTGCTATAATATGGGAAGGGTGGTAGGTGTGGTATGTTTTCTTTTTCGGTGTTTTCCATGCTTGTGTAGATTATGCTCATACTCATGCCATCAGGCGACACACAGGCAACTCAGCACTGCAGAGAAACTGTCATGTGCTCACAAGAAGTCTCTGAGGTGCCTGTTATCTTTAACATCTTTTACATTGGGGAAACTGAGGCCCTGAGGGGTTATCATGCCCAAGGAGATGGTGAAGGTGGGGTTGGATTTAAACCATGTCTCCTTTTCTGCAAACAAGGCACTTTAAAACAACAACAGATGAACTGGGCATGGTGGCACATGCCTGTAATCCCAGTACTTGGGAGGCTGAGGCAGGAGGATCATTGCGAGTTCAAGACCAGCCTTGGCTACAAAGTGAGCTCAAGGCCAGCCTGAACTGCAAAGTGAGACCTTGTCTCAAAAAAA